CTGCATCTTAATTATCTATATCTTAGATCTGATGCACTTTTTTCAAATTAGCATTTCTCCCGTATTATTTCTAGTTGTCAGATCGCAAACGTTTTCAAATTGCTTGTCTGACTATGTAGGCACTGCGGATCTATTTTATACGACTTGTAACCTTNCTCTCTCTCTCTCTCTCTCTCTCTCTCTCTCTCTCTCTCTCAGTCACTCTCTCTCTTTTTCTCTGTGTTTAGGTTACTGTGGTACAGAAAGCTCAGGCAATACATAAATGTAGGAGTGTTACTGATCCTCACTACCGCATGCTTGATAAACAGAACGTTCCGAGGTATACTCATTTTTGGTAACTATTATATATATTATTAAGAAACTAACAAGGAGAAGGGCAGTATTATGGGGTTTTGAGCTATCGACAAGAAAATTACGATGATGGGTGTCAGAAGCATGTTTGAAGAGACGCCTTGACACTGTCTAACTATATTTTGAACGTATGACTTTCCTACCTTCAATTTCTTAAACTCAACACTAAAACATGACGTCTGCTCTCACAGAAGGCAAATAATATACGTTTGGTTTGTTATGAACTTTTGGTAAAAGAATTTTAATAGAGAGTCCCAATATGCAAATTTCTTCTCACTACTGTTACCAGATGGTTCTTCTTGCACTATGTTTTCAGTCCTATATAAAGGTACATGTTAGTGCTCTTCTTGGGCTGGCTTCTTGTGCGTATTTGCTGGGGGAATGAATGGTTTTTGTTAGGTACCCATTATAATTATTATTATTATTTATATGATCGTATAATTTTTTAGTGTTAGAGAGAGATGGCACGACTTTTTTGGCCTTGGGGATTTTGTTCTGTATCACAACAAAGAAAAGAACTTTGAGGTAGGAAGTAAGGAGCGCTATTCGTGGATAGAGAAATAATGACCTTACCATAACCGTGATGATGACATTTTTCTTTTCGATCTTGTTTTTTTGTTTGTTTGTTTGCTTATTTGTTTCTATTTCATTGATTAGGGATCACATACTGCTCGCGCTGAAGTAACTTTATATATTCTTTATATATACGCAATTAACTCTGATGACTGTTCCTAAAATTGAGAACTGAAAGGAAGACCCCGAAGCTGCATCAGCAGCAGCAAAACCTCAACAACAACACAGAAAGAGATTAAACGTCAACCATTTGACCAGGACTCGGAAACCGTGCCATGTATTGACACTGACCTGATGGAACCATTTCAGTCGGTTGGCGTCTGATTTAGTAGCATTTAGTTAAACATTTTAGTTGATCCCACCACGATGCAACTACTCCTTGGTAGTGGTTATGAGATGAACGGGAACTTTGAAACAGTTTGTATTCTATTACTGGGCTATCGGGATTATGTTATCATTTTTATATATCAGCGAGTATATTCCTAAAAAAAATATGTCTCTAACTATTTTCAAGGTGCTAACGAGACAATGGTCTTGCAATAATGCCAGATCAGTAACATGTAACTGTGGAGTTATCATCCGCGATCACAACGATCTCATAAAATTCAGCTGCTGCGGTGATCCACCGAAAACGTTTCGAGATGCTACAACCCCTATTGTGGTTGATATACCACGTGCAAAGTGTCTCGCACCAGGGATTACGTTACATCAAGTAATTAAGGGCATCAACAGCAAATACGAGGTATGTTCTTGATTGGGCTTATGCCTAAAATCGTCTAATAATCATTATTTCAACTCTTTATTCACCGAGAGCCAGATCGCATTTAAGCTTTACTTTGGTTAGAGTGGTCTACTTATGGAACATTTTACCGGTAGAAGTATTGGAGGCTGGAGGTTTTTAGGTTTTTCGAAGTTGAACTGTGCCATTTAAGGAGTTAGCTTATTCTTATTTAACGATGTAGATATCTTTAGGGTTTCCTTGTTTTATTTATTAACTCTCGGGTATCCCTATTTTATTTAATATCACGACTCATTACCTTTTAATTTTAGTTTTGGGAGCTTGCATTATTAGGGCCAAGCTCTGAACTCCCTTTTCGGGGCTTTCTTTTAAGTTTATGTATATATTCTTCGTATTCTATGAAGTATGTGTGACCCAGATAAACATGCTGTTGTAGCTGTGGTGAAAGAGAACTGGCACATGATGGTAATATATTTATATATCAAACATATAACATAGTTTCATGATGGCTTACAATTCTTCTACGGGGTGAAATCGGACGTCAGCTTGCAAGGAATAGCCGGTTCAGGTCCTTTCCTCAAATCATCTGAATTTATTAACGACTGATTACCTAACAAAGGGGCCATAACTGTTTTAGGACGCACATCCAATTCGAAGACTTTTGCAAACCTTCAATTATCTACACATGTCTTAAAGAAGCGCTAAATCCTTTACTTGCGATTAACGTTGGCGAAAGTGGATTTAGTGCAGATGTATCCACCGCAGCCAAAAATATGGCCCATTATTGACTTAGCGCGATAATGGATTTTATGCTGAGGCGGGGCCTTATCTTAGATTACAGTACAAGCTGCAGAGGTAGATAGCCGTTAATGGGCTAGACACCACACGCAGAGCAAGCTTTAAATTCGTGTGCTCTGCTAACCCTCTCCCCTTTTTCTGCCAGCGCCGATCGRGATAGCTGTTTAGCCTTAGAAGCGTACTTTACTTTCTTTCGTCGGCCCTCCACCATCCCCTGAGCTCCTCCTCTGCTCTTGCTACCTCTTACTGGGCTGGCTGTTTTTCGCCCCAACTTTATTCACTGAATCAAATATAGCGATGTTTAATTGATTAATTTGACACCTTAGCATTTGAATGGTTTGAAATAAACGCCACGTGAGTGGCCAAATTAATCCAAACAAGTGTTTCAGTGATTCAGTGGTTTCTGGCCGCATGCACGACCGCGATTATAACCATTTCATTATAGTCTTTTGTGCGCTGGGTTTATAAATAGGCGTCGCTCTCGGCATAAAAACGAATTTCCTGTCGAATCAGGTGAGGTTTAAGTTTACTTCAAACCTTCGCGGGTTTCCTCCAGAAAAAAATTCGCACGCGCGCTGTTTTGAAGGAAACCCCCACAAACTATATATCAATAGAAAGGTTATAAAATGTAAAATTCGGTAAAATTATATGTTTTTTTGCCGACTGCTTTCCTAAGGCGCCAGAAGCCGTTAACGCCAAAACGACCGACAGAAATTCCGGCGAATTAAACGGGTATCAAATGCGATCATTGATGCAAAATAACTGTGCAGTGTTAATCACAAAGCATCAATCTCTCAAAGCCTGTCAGCATTGTCTTTCATTTCTATTGGTTATCTTTTTATAGATCTGTCAAGTTCCACTATCGAAAAATTCGTGTAACGTGTTGCGTTAGAGACCGCCATGACAAAAGTCTTTGAAAGAAAAGAATTCGGCGACACGTTTTTGTTCCGTTCCGTATCCATCAGTGAATATTCTGGCCAAATTTCAAGGAAAACCATCGATTCTACATATCCTATTAATTCATTTAAAGAGCAGGGATTCTCTCGAAAAACGAGTGCAAGTTTTCGCCTTGCAAAGATTTATAAACATGTAAAGCCTTCTGAGAGGGATATGTCAACTCAAAATGCCGCTAGCTAATGAAATAAGAGAACCCCTAGCGTTCACAGTAAGGAAAGTTGAGCTTCGCGGTAAAGCGATGGTGTTACAGTCACGTTTTAGGCGCATAAGTTTTAGGCCGGTGGTCAACAATAAAGGACAAAACGGAGAAAAGCGCTGTGCAACAAAGCAAAAACAAACTGAGTAGCAATTGCCGAAGAGTGACTACGAAAAGGCACTCTTGACGGAAATGAAATCTCAAATTGAAAGCATTTGATATAGAATCTCTGGATTACGCCGTTTGCCGCGAAAAGGTCGCTGAGGAGTCCATGCCTTTTAGGGATTATGACACCTTGACGGTTTATTAACTTTTATTAAAAACCTCTTTTTCTCAATAACTCGCGCACGTTTTAATATTTTATTTTCATTTTTTGGAAAATGTTACCTTGAATAATGAACTCTAATTTGGTTGGAAAAAAGAAAATTTGGAAAACGTAGCCCCGCGAATGTTTGGAGTAACCTTAAAAAAAGAAATTGATGAACAAGTGTGATTTTTCTTCAATTCAGGTTATAGTCCCATCCGGTATAAGAGTGCTGTTGGAGAGAAACTACTGGGGTATTGATGTTACTATTTACACTCCACGCGCCACAAACCGCAAAAATGAAGAAGGACTGTGTACATATGAGAAGGATCGACATGGGGATATCATCAAGTTTGGATACAAAATGAAGTGGGTATTTGTTACTTAAGATTTTCGGAAGTGGAATAAATGTTAACTTTTAAGAGGCCCCATTCGTTGTTATTTCGTTCATTTAAGAACCTGCTGATTGGAGAACTGTTTGGGTATCTGCTTTTTGAATATCGCTACCCACAACTATACCACTACCATTATCAATACCATTACCATTACCACTATCACTACAACTACCACCAACACCACCACTACCCCTTACAACACCACCGCAACTACCAACACCACCACCCCCACCGCCACCACCACCACCACCTCCACCACCACTACCACAAACACTACCACTACCACCACCATTACCACCACCACCACGACCACTATCACCACAACTACTACAACCACCATTGCCACTACCACTACTAACACCACTACCACTACGACTACCACCACCACTCTCACTGCCACTACCACTACCACTACCACTACCACAGCCACCACCACGATCACCACCATCACCACTACCACTACCACCACCATTACTACTACCATTACCGCTATCACAATCACTACCACTACCACCACCACTACCACCACCACTACCACCACCACTACCACCACCACTACCACCACCACTACCACTACCACTGCCACTGCCACTACCACTGCCACTACCACTGCCACTGCCACTACCACTGCCACTGCCACTGCCACTACCACTACCACTGCCACTACCACTGCCACTGCCACTACCACTGCCACTGCCAGTACCACTACCACTAGCACCACCACCACCACCTCCACCACTACAACTACCACTACCACTACTACTATCACTACCATTACCACTACTACTGCCACTACCACTAGCACCACCACCACCACCACTACAACTACAACCACCACTACCACTACCACTACCACTAACACCACCACCACCACTACAACTACCAGTACCACTACCACTACCAGTACCGCCACTACCACTACCAGTACCACCACCACTACCACTACCACTACCACTACCACCACTACCACTGCCACTACCACCACCACCACTACCACTACCACTACCACTACCATTACCACTATAACTACCACTACCACTACCACTACCAGTAGCACCAACACCACCACTACAACTACCATTACCACTACTACTACCACTACTACTACCACTACCACTACCACTACCATTACCACTATAACTACCACTAACACTACCACTACCAGTAGCACCAACACCACCACAACAACTACCATTACCACTACTACTACCACTACCACTACCACTACCACTACCACCAGCACTACCACCAGCACTACCACCACCACTTCAACTACCACTACCACTACTACTACCACCACCACTACCACTACCACTACCACTACCACTACCACTATAACTACCACTACCACTACCACTACCACCACCAGTACTACTACCACTACCACTAACACCACCCCCACCACTACAACTACAACTACCACCACCACTACCACTACCACTACCACTACCACTAGCACCACCACTACAACTACCACTACCACTACTACCACCAGCACTACCACTGCCACTACCACTACCACTGCCACTACTACTACCACTGCCACTATTACCACCACTACCACCACCGCTACCACCATTACCACTAACACTACCACTACCAGTACCACCACCACTACCACAGTACCACTACCACTATCACCTTTAACGTCGCTTGTAGCTGCTGAGCTTGGACGAGACCTGCTACTTATTGTAATTAACCGAAAAATAATGAAATATTATCTTTATCTAAACAACAAACTTGATGACCCTCTCGTCAAACAAACCTTTTTATGTCGAAAAAATTGCATTCTATTAATAATTCCGGGTTTTATTCCAACTTTTTGAACATGTTAGAAAAATACCATTTATCTGATCTAGATCTTGAAACTTTAGACAATGATGCAGTAAGGCAAATTGAAACTGATATGAAAAAAAATTTTCTCACTAGCGACACAACAGGCAAAACTCAACAAAGTTAGACCTCTAAGTTTTCAATAATGAATATACCCCATGTGATTATTTAACCCATTTAAAGTGCTACTGAAACGAAATTTTCGTATGTGAGATTTTTGCTTAGTAATAAAGTTTCAACCTTACTTGGAAACACTGCAGACTGTTTTTTCGCATACGGTAAGCGAAAACTGCTTTTCAGCCGTTCGAAGTTGGCTGGTTAAGTCCAAAATTGGCGGCCCTCTGGGCGCGGCTAAAACAGCCTAGTGACGTCACTGGTTGTGTTGCTCTCATACCGCGCTGTAAATTTAGAGTGATTATGGGAGAAGAGAATACTGTTCGAAGTCCCCCAAAAACCATCTTAAGGACATCTCGGAACTTTAAAGCAGATAATAACAGTAGCCTTAGACATGAAGAGGTGGAGAGTCGATCCTGGGGCTTTTCAGTCTATTTTTAACAATTATTCACCGAAGTGGAGATAAATATCCATCACTTTCACCGACACTGAGGTGAATAATTGTTTTAGTATATACCACACAAGCTGAATAATTAGCGGACTAAACGTTACTTTATGTGTGACAAGCGGGGGGAAATTTCAGAATCTCTCGCGCCGGCTGCTTGGAGTTGAATAGTACTTGCCAATCACCTCCGAGTTAACCAATCAGAACGCGCGAAAAGCACTATTCACTTGGGTGGTATATACTGAAATTGGATATTTCCAAAATATGTTATGTAGGCATATTTTATGGAGTGCGAGTTCTTAAGAGTCGATTCCTGTAAATACCGAAAATGGGATGACAGTCGCGAAATTTCGGATTTCTTCATATTTTGCCCAAATAACCTCTATAATGAGTTGTTTTCGAAACTACCATTCAAAGGTCCTGAAGCGCTTTAGTTTTTTCGAAATCGAGGAAAGCCCGAAAATCGCCATTTTAGCTCTCTGCCGCCATTGTGCATTTTGTTTTCGCTCGTACAGATCAACGCAACGATATCTATCAATATACTTTCGGTAGATCATAGTGCATGTCTTGCTGTTTCTAAAGCATTAATTTGATTAGCAAAAGCTCCAAGTGTTACAATATTTTAGGCCTATACAAGTACCTTCATCGAAGCTCGTGAGCGAAAGGGCTAATTTTAGCTAATTTCAAGATCATCAAAAGCCCACTAGTACATCGAATTTGAAGTCGAAACTAAAATTTTCTGTAAGCCCATACGCCATATTATGTTTTGTGAAAGTCTCTTCCGAGGCCCGAAAAAAGTACCCTGTCGAGAGCAATAATCATGTGGTACATTTTGAGAAATTCGTCATTCGTGAAACCAACATGGAACTTGGAAAGCTAACTTCATCAAGAACAAAAATAAGCGAATGGAAGCCTTTTTCGTCAATAAAGATGCTTGCAATCTGTTTTTTT